CTTTACATATTCTCCTTCTCACCCGAAGGCCTGAAAAGTCTTTTTTTGGAGTTGTGCCCTGTCCTCATTCTGCCCAGCTAGTCAAGCCTACTCTTCTGCTTGTGAACTCTGTGTGCACAGCAAGTTAGCCTTCCTAGACTTCGGGGCAGGAGGCCTTCTGGGGGGTGACACTTTTCTGGCAGCCATTCTATATTCCTGGTCAAATGCTTTAGACTCCTTTCTTCTAGAAGGGCTGTTTAAATAAGCTCTCTTTCCTTAATTGCCTCTACTTTTGGTAATTCAATTGTTTGTTATCTCCATTCCTCTCACCTTTTCAGGGCCTTTGATTTCTTGTTCAGCTCCTTCTTGCTCACTTTTCTGCCTGTTCTCTATGTTGTCATTTCTCACCCTGATGGTTCTTACATGACATGCTATTTGTCTAGGGGTTATGAACAAATGAAGTAACTTCTAAGAATTTTCTTTTTCCTCCACAAATGAATAAAGAGGTAAGTGTGTTCCCTAGTAGTCATAGTGTTTTTTCTTCATCTTTGTTCTTCTATTAGACTCCTTAAAAATAACATGTGGTAAAGCAGATTAGCAGAATAAATTGTCTTCACTAGACCAGTGCAACCAGTAAAATTCAAGCCAACTTCAGCTTAGGAAATGGGTGGTAGCTGTTTGTGTATTCCTTGATTAAAGACAATAATTTTTACTTTTATTTACTTAATTTTATATTGTGTTCAAGTTTGCACATACACTTACATAAGTGATCTGAAATTGTGCACACAAATACTGTGGTGTTTTTCTCTTGGTCTTGGTGTATTTTATATTTTTTGGCTTATTCATGTTTTCTAATATTCTTGGCTAATCAATACATTTATTGATAAGTTTATTAATACTGTTCTAAGCCCTGGTAACAATCTGGGGCATTACTCTATGCTTTGTGTTCATAAAAAGTGGACTCATATAGAAGGCCCCAGTTTTCAAGGTCTAAGTCCATGAGGAGAATTAAGCTGAATTGTAAGAAAGTCTGTAACAAAGGATGGATGTTTCATGCAATGACGAATAGAGATGGGTAATATTGTGAGAATGGGAGGAAGCCCAGTAAGAGGAAATATTCACAGACAGGAAGGGCAGAGAGCCATCTCAAAATACACCCCAAAGAGTAGGTTTGGTTGTGTGGGTGCTAAGAACTGCTTCCCAGGGTGATCACTGTGGGTAACCTTGGGTGGAGGGAATGGCTTTGATGGGTCTGAATATTTAGCATGGTGTGAGACAGTGAGGAGCAGAGGCCAGGTCTTGCTCCTGCTCTTCTCTCCTGTTCTCCATAATACTTGATTTTGGACTTAATTCTAACTTAGGTTCTTGTTCTGGGTTCTTTTGAAAAAGGAAAATATTCCTTTCTGATGTACTGACAATTAATTTAAAATTAAAGGTATACCAGAAAACCATGTTAACTCATTTACTATTACTGGAGATAGATATCCATCAGAATAGGTGGACCAGTAACTTGGGTTCTGTTTACAGTGAGGCTAAATCAGACTGGATGGGCAGCACATCACACTGAAATCACACTGGTGCTGATTTCAAAGAACCATTCATTTGTAGATTTATGCATGGGTTATAAAACAACCCCATTGCTTTATATAGTCCTTCAGACTTCCCTTTTGCTTTATATGTGCTTTCTGTGGATGTTCATATAATGATATCAATTAATTCAATGAAGAATCTTTCATTATTGATACCCACATGATTAATTATAGAAGTGAAATGCCTACTATAATGGAGGAAGAGTACATCTGGGCAGGTGCTGCATGGCTTTGGCAAAGGGAAACAGCATCTAAGGGCAGTCATTAGCAGAGTCTAAGGTGACTTTGAGATAAGCTCTGTTATATTTCAATTGTCTGCATTGAGTTTACCTCAAGGATCCATGAGTGCAGAATTTGGTCCTGCTAAGTCACTGTGATACTGAATCACTCATTCTGCATCTGGAACACATGGGAGATTCAGTAGTATGTGTTTTGATAGAGCAGACTTCTTTTGAAATGAAAAAATGATAACCCTTCTTATTTAGGTAAAATACTAGTGGATGCCTTTGGGTGGAGGAAATTAGAGGAGCCCCCTTTTTAAACCTTTATATTACCTTATTTTCCAGAACCCAAACAAGTTTTCTTGTCTCTAAAGACACAAGAGGCTCTCTCTCCTTTGAGTGAGCATGTCTGCTGTATTCCATCTAACTCTGATCATATGATTAGTAGAAAAGTATGATTTCTTGTTATTGTTTACTATTGCAACAAATATTTGTCATATTCTTACAAAATATTTCCATCCTGAAAATTTACTTTGTATGCATTACTGTTTTGAGCCTGAACATTGTCTTTTTTATTTGTCATACTAGTCATAGTAGATATGGCAAGGTATTTTTCTCTCCTTTTTGAAAATGAGGCATTAAAGGACTGGGGGCATGGATCAAATTGTAGAATGCCTGCCTAACAAGCACGAGGCTCTGATTTCAAACTCCAGTACCATAAAAAAAGGAGGCATTAAAGAGCTAGGGGCATGGTTCAAGAGGTGGAGCTTGCCTAGCAAATGAGAGTTCAAAGCCCAATACTGCCAAAAAACAAAACAAAACAAAACAAAAAAACAAACAAAACCCCAATGAAACATTTAGAAGAAGTAGGCAAATTCCCCAAGGTTAAGTAGTAAAATGGAACTTAGACTAGGACCCACCTCTGCCTTGTTTCATAGGACAGAGTTGAAATATTATAATCATTTTTGTGGCACCTAGTCCCTACTAATCATGATGACACCTTGAAATACAACATTCACATTTTTTGAGCAGAATTTAACACTTTCAGTTTTGTTTATTGTTTGATAAATCCTCTCCAGTCACCCACCTCCACCTCCTCTGTTGCAACAAGAGCCTCACAGCAGGGACCTGTTTCCCACTTCACTACTTTATTACAGTCCTAGAATTGTGTTTGGCATTGTGTAGGTACAAAATAAATGTTTGTTGAATAAATGGAAAAAAAATTGGCAGGTTATTACTTTTCTGGCTTCTCACTGCTTCCAGGCTAAGGACAGACTTGCAAGGGCAATTATAGAGCAACATGAAAAACCCCATAACAGGATTAGGAAGCCAATGGAGTCATGGAGGCCTTGCCCATAAGCTGGTATTTGCTCTGGGTATTGTGAAAAGAAGGGTGTGAAGAGAACATGAAGAGTGTCTAAAATCTTAGAAACAGGATGTCAGAGTGTGAATGCAGAATGAAGAACTCACTCTGTGTATTTCACTGAGAAGAGTCACACCTAACCAGCCTGGGGGTCCTCTTTCAGGGTTCCCAAGACTCCAAACTGGCAAGCCTTTGTTATCATTTTTCATTCCTCTCAGTTTCACCCTTCAGACTGTGAGATCTTTGATGCAAGAAACTGGGATAGTTTGATAGTGAATTCTTTTCAGGTAGGGAGTCTTACTTATCATTGTCATCTCAGAGCCCAGCATAGTGTTTGTAACTGGTGGCCCTCAGTAAATGTCTAATGTATTATGAATGTGTAATGAATAAATGAGTGAATGAATGAATGGTATTGCTTATTATAAGTTTATTTCAAAAGAGGTTTTTGAGTTTATGTTTAGGCAATAAAATAGTTACTGTGGTCTTGGATAGCAATAATAAAAGTATAGTACCTCTTTAAAATTTGCAGAATCTTGATATTACAGAGATAAAGTGACCTTATGGTTGACAAAACTGAGATCTGAGAGGTGGAATGAATTGCTTATTGTTTCACAGTAGTAATTTGTGGTGAAGTTAGGACTTCAGTTTAGAGACCATGGCTCAGTTAAATTTGCTTTCTGCAAGTTGTACTATATTCTGTGCTGGTTAGGCCACACAACTTTAGTAAATATGAAATTTGAGCTCTACACTTTAAGAAATTTATTGACAAAGTAGAGTCAAGGTAAAGTCAGGATAGAATGATCAGATGCCAAGAGGATGTGGGAATCACATCACATGAAGAAGAGATGAGGAAATTAAGGATGTTTCATTTGGAGAAGAAAATACTTGTGGAGGGACTGTGGTGTGAGTGGGAAAACATGATTTCTATCTTTATATTTTAAACATATAAGTCATTATTCCTTTGCTCTAGAGATGAAGAAATAGGAGTTATGAGGAGAAACTACAGAGGAGTGAAATTGAACTTAATATGAAGTAGAGTTGTTTGGAAAATTTTAACTGTGCAAGAATGAAATTCCAAATGATAAGAAATATGCCAGTAGAGGCTGGATTATTGTCTATGAGTACTAGATTGTGAGGCCTTTACATGAGAAACTATGTTTTATTTGTATTTCCCAGGGGCCTTGAATAGTGCCTGACACATCGTATGTGTTCACTTCAGATTTGTCATGATTTCTTCACTGGGTGGGTGAGCATGGAGGTAGGCAAAAGTGTACTGAGGACTTTTCCAACATGTAGACTCTTGATCTTTGATAAAAATTCACATATAGGCATGCATCAGCATCTAAGAAAGCATGTCATTTCACATTCTTACAAGTGAGAGAATGGAATTGTTTCTTTTACACTCTATACATCTCTATTGATAGTACTGTTTTTTCTCCTCTTCTTTGAGAATGAGAAGATTTGTTTGCCAGACTGTTTTACAAAGGAGACTATGGCTATTCATGCTTTCACATGTTAAATAAACTTCATGTGGAAGTTCAGAAGATATTTGACTTATACAAGTATCACAGGACTTGCTCATAGGACCACTTGAGTGATGGTTATATCAATGGATTCACTCTTTTCAAATTGATGACTAACCTAGAAAACCACATTTTTCAAAGTCCTAAACCCTATTTAGATTGTCACCTTTATTTATAGGTTAACAAATGCCTTAAATGTTACCTCAGGAAACTGATTTTTTCACTGAATATTTTATATTCAGAACATATTGATTTAATATTTTTGTCCTCTTTTTGGGGGGGCATAGGAAGGTAATATCATTTCTTTTAGTCCATGCAGGGGTCATTTGAAGGAGACAAAGAGAACTTTATTTAAATATACAATATGAGCAACAGAAGGTATGCAGAGATAAATGATAATAAGGAAATTACTCAAATTATAATTCCATCTTATTCTTTTAGAATTGTCACAATTTATTTTTTCCCAATGTGATCATACTTATCTGCATGCTCAAATCTGACAAAAATTGACACCAGCTTTTCACTAAGGTCCTTTAGATTCTAGGGGATTAATTTTCTATTTTATGATCATGTAAATATGCTCAAGGCATATTTCTCTCTTTTCATAAAATGTTGTCATTGTCATAGTTGCTTTTTAAATAATGGTAACTCATTAGCCATACACTATTAATACGTGATATGTACTTAAGAATCCAACTTTTTTTTTTCAGAAAGTATATACTATGATAATATAATAAGGTTCTTCTAAAAAATTGTAACTTTGGTGTTTCACATTTAATGATGTTATTAAAATTTTCCCATTGCTGCTAATTCCACTCACCTAAATGGAATAGATTTTGCTATAATGTGTACACCTAATATCTAACTTACTCAGGACCCTTTGGATATATGCATTTAACTGAGAGATTCTAAGCTGTTTGCCAAATAAAAACCAGTATCTTCTTTCCTTCTCTTTTATGAGTTTTAAAATACTTTTGCTACTGTTCTTCTTTGATTTAATTTATATGCCAGAGATTTTTCTGCTCAGGGAATGAAAATAGAAGACCAGGGAAGATAGTAGATGAAATATAGATGATTCAAAGATCTAAAATATTTTATCCCCACTCGATATAAAGTAAATTATTTTTTCTCTTTTCCAATAACTATCATTTCTCTTGATCTTGGAATCACTCAAAACCTAGCCACTGAGTCCTGTACAAACTAATGTGCTGTCTTAAAATGTGCAGAAAGTTGAAATACTGAGGCCTGTACAAATTGTACTAGTTGGATTATATTTACAGTTATGAAATACTGAAAATTTAAGAATGCCATTTTTCTCATCACTGAGCATTTATTATATATAACAAATACATGGGAAAGAAAAAACTATATTGTGATATAAATAGTTTATTTACATTACAGAAAAAACATCAAGACAATGTATACTATTTCAAATATATCCATACATAATCAAATATAGCTGTAGTACATGTTTTCATTGGTGTAGATTACCACAAATGCAAGGCAACATGTGTAGATCTCTTGTCTTATTCTTTTGTCTATAATACTGTATTGTGTAGTCCAAGCTGTCGGTCCGGCCACTGTAAAACATGCTCCCTTTAAATTAACCTCGTGGACGCTCTTGTTGTGTTGTCTGAACTGTAGTGCCCTGTATTTTGCTTCTGTCTGTGAATTCTGTTGCTTCTGGGGCATTTCCTAGAAGGTTGGAAAGTTTACAAATCTTAGTCCAATGAGATTACCTAAAACTTAGTCCTATATGCACAGAGTGAAGCTTTGGATTAAGTAAATTATTAAAATATTTCAGATGAAAGAATTGATTATTAGTAGAATATGGGATTACTCTGGAAAAGTTATTTTTTGACTTCTCTTTGCAGTTGTCTTTAGGCTTCTGTTGAGTATTGGAGAACACAAATGGAGTTGAAGAAGAATATATTTACCTTGTCCTCAGTTCATTAAGGCACAATGAACAGACTCAGCAGAATGCAATCAAGCAAGTCATGAGCTCATCTCTTCTCACTTTAAAGGTCTTCAACAATTTCATATTTTAAATGTCTTAAGGAAGAATGTTATATTGACATTTTAGTGCTGCAAGTTAAAATCCTATCACACCAGGGAATAAGACAACTATTACAATCTGATATGTAAATGGAAAGGAATATTGTTTTGGTTTAGCCTAATACCATTTTTATGCATTAATACTCTAAGCCAGAAACATAAATGGTCCCAATTATGCAGTGTCTATAAAAAGCTAATATTCTGTCAAATTACCTGAAAATCTCTGATCTAGTAGTTTTTCTCTTATAGTAAATGACTGCTTTGATTATTCAAATAAGAACAACATAAAGTTCATATAAAATCCTATTTCCCTGAGGGATATTGAGAAATATATATGAATACACACACACACACACATATATATATAAACACACACATACATTGTAGATTGTAATGTGCATGTGTGTATAATTTTGAGGGGAGTTGTATCTGTCAAAAATAAACACAAAACTGGACATCTCATTTCCAGCAAGTGGGAGCTATAGGTAAAATGATTGAAAGTCCAAGTTTTCAACACGGGAACTCTTTTCATTTGGGAACATGTCTCTAGACATCTGTTTTTTTGTGACACATATTCTGAAGGAGAACACCAGTTTTTGACTGGACTATAAAGACAAAAAAGAGGATTGAATTACAAAAAAAGAAAGCAGGAAGGAGAGACTAGAAAGAAGAGAGAAGTATAAAAGAGAAGAGACTAGATGAGAAAGATATTTTTAAAAAAGTGAAGAGAATGAGGGAATCTCTGCTTGGTGTGATTTTGAAAATATTTTAGCACCTAGATATTTTGGAATAGGCTTTGGCAATAAGTATTGCTAGGGTCCCCAGGAAAGTAGGGTGTTTTGGTGGTAAGAAGCCTGCCTAGTAGGAAAGTCTAGTTTCTAAGCAGAATGTTTTTGAATGAATGAAATTAATGCAAACTAGGAACTGGTATGGTTTATTGACTAGTATGATTTATGGAAAGACTTTAGAAGGTTTGGTGGACCAAAGACAGGTTTATAAAATTATTACAAGAATTCTATTTCTCTTTCTCAAAAGTAAGTAGAGGGGAGGTTTTATTCAGATTAACACAGACAGTGAAAAAGGCCACATGCCTTGAAAATACAACTTACTCTAATTGGAACTCAGCTTCGATAGTCTTGAGCAAAGGATACAAAAAATCATGACCAGCCCAGGAACAGCAAGAGCAGTCATTAAGTATACAGGCTCTGGTCTGAGGCAGCTTCCAAACCATTTTTGCCCTTATTATTTAACTGTGAACTCAGCATTTTGATAATTTCTCATAACTCCAGGTTTTGACCTTGAAAATGAGGATAACTGTTCATTCTTTGTAATGTTATTAAATGTGTATATATGTGTTTGTGTAAATATGTGTATAAATATATAAATATGTGACTCACATATAACATACATACACAAATTCCTGGTGCAGGAAGGACTTTGTGTATTCTATTTGTTTCTATTGTGTATGGGAATGAAACTGTGATTAATAGAGTTGAAAACATCTGAAATACTTAAACTTTGTATTTTTCAAGATGTGCAGTAGCAATCAAATTATTATGATTAAATATTAAATATGGGATTTTTTTTAGGTATGGAAATTGCCCCTATAGTAGAAAGCCCAAGACCCCCAGCACAGTATGGTAGAGTTTCCTGTGTTTTTAGCTTCTTTTCTATCTTTTCTTTTTATACTTAATATTTTTGGCTTCTTGAGTTATCTTTCTGGTCCCCAGAATCTATTTTAATATAATCCATTGACTAGCTTGGCATCTAAACGTGAGAGTCAAGTTGATGAACTCAGCTTGGCTCAGAGCAGCACAAAGCTCCAGTCAATGATCTTCCTTAAGCCTTTAGGCCAGGCAAGGATTTATGAGCCGTATTTTGTCTTTTTCAAGAGCAAATGCCACAGTTGTCCTCAAAGAAGATAGTGCAATATAGATACTGAGATATATTATGTCCTTTATTTTCTAAAGATATTATACTTTTTATTTTCTTGTTTTTTAAAACAAATTTTGGGGGAAACATTTCAATTTACTGTAGAGCTATACAAATGAATGGAAGCTTAAATGCCACATGGATTTGGTGAAAACCTTACAGAACTTCCTGAGAACTTTTTAAAGGAGAGTGAAATCAGATCAGAAGGAAGTATCTTCAATAACTTTTCTACTCACATGGGACATAAGTGATGCATTTGGTTTAGAATCTAATTCTTGGTTACTATGGGTTTGCACACTAATGAAGTTAGGCAAGTCCCTGGCCTCAATCCTTTACTGCAAGCCAAGCGTCAGACATCACTAATCAGTCACGGTTTACATTCCCACTGAAACTGGATGAGCCCTCTCTCTCAATCTGGTTTTTCAGGAAACAATTACTTTTTGATTGGACTGGGAGTTGAAAAAAAGTTTGCTGTGAGATTTGCTGCTTGTTTCTATGTATCAAAGGTTTTCATTTCCTGAAACACAATGGTTCTTGTTATAACTATTTTTAAAATTTTGTGATTCAAAGTTATTTTGTCATCATGAGATAAAATGCCTTTTTTGTCTATACAAAGTATGTTAAAATTGTTTACATTTGAGACCTATGTAGAAATATGAATGCTAAAAATGAGAAGCATAATTTAACACTTTTATATGCCTTGTATAAAATCTACTCTGGCCTCTTTTGATACAGACAAAGATAAGGATATACTAGTCATTTAAATAGGCTGTAGTCTGAATGAAGACTGATTTCTTATAAGTCAAAGAGAAAAGAATATTTAAACAAAGGTTGGCATTGTGTGTTAGAGAAAAAAATCTTAGAAAATAAACAAACCTCATCAGAATGCAAAAATAAGGAAAATAGCTTGTGCCAGTCCAACATGAAAATCCAGGCCTTTCCATATGGCCATTCAAATGTTTGTAGAATGAGAGCGAATGGCTGCAGCAGTCATTAAGGGACTCGAAATCAAAGGAATCTGATTTTAAAAGGAAGGACAACATATCCTCTTTTTTGGGTGACCAACAAGTATAACTACTGACCTTGTGATGCAGAGGACCACCACACAGATGACAGCAATCTGAATCGTTCCAATCACAGCTGCAATTAAGACATACTGAAACCGTACAGGACCGGGAACAACGTATAGAACACTGTAGTCCTTTTTTTCACAGTGTTGTCCAGTGTAACCAGCATCACACCTGGAAGAAATTATAGTGTCCAGTTACCTGTGGCTGCTGAATTCTCTTTTTAAAAAAAATTCTCTTAAATCAACCCAAGTCAACATGTTTCTTTGAGAAAAAGTTTGCTTCTAATGATATGGCATGGTATTTATTCGTTTTAAATAGAACATCTTCTATGCTATTGCAGAAAAAAAATGTTGAAAAATATTAGGACTAAAGATAGAACAAGAGTCATTTCTTTAATTTGCTGGTCATAAAGTCACCTGCTGATGTTGCACAGTTAAATTTTGCTACAAAAATAATTATGATATAGATAACAGAAGTCTGCAAAACAGCCAATGTAGCATTCTTCTGAGACTGATTGGTGCCTCTTCCTTACTCAAATCCCCAATTGAAAACTCAGGTAGAAAATCTGAGTATTTAAATTAGCATTTCACATGAAACAATTCATTAAAAATATACTAAAGGGGATCCACTTGTCATTGCTTTGTGACTTCTTGGTACTTGACTTTAAATGTCTTGTAACCTAAGGTTTTTCCTGTCTGCATCAGGACGGTTCAATTGACTCTGCTCAGGAGGGAGGGGCAGCGAGAGTAGCCTCTCCCTTTACATTTTGTTTACTCTGCTTGTCTTTAGGAGAAGGCAGGTGCTAGTGTATTCTGTGTAGGGAAACAGGAAAGAAGATAGTTGTATATGATGGTGTGGGGGTGGGAGAGAGAGAGAGAGAGAGAGAGAGAGAGAGAGAGAGAGAGAGAGACAGACAGATAGAGACTGACTCAGAAACACACAGAATTAGAAAGAGTACTTCTGCTATATATTAAAATTTCCTTCTTCATATGCCACTTGTGTATTAATTTAAACGTAAATACATTTGTTGTTTTTCATTTTGGCTTTGCCATCTTGGAAATAATTACTGTATCTTCTAGACATGAATAGTCAGCAGATATTTATAAACTAAATCTAGACAAGCAATTTTTTTGTGTCTCTACTTACTGTGAAACTGCTTAGAAAAGACTGAGTGCCTGGTAAAACCAAGTTTGATGATACTTATTAGAAGATCTGGAGAACTTTGGAAATTATGTCCTCCCAAAAGTAACGCTTGAGAAATATTTAGTGAGAAGTGCAGAGCACTGTTCTATGTTCAGAGAAAGAGTGGTGAATAATAATGAGTAGTCTGTGCCTTTTAGGATCTTATGTACAAGGCACAATTTAAAATTTTATTACAAGAGTACATTTAATGATTAGTTACTTAGTACTTGAGTATGTAAGGCATACACAACTTATGCTTTCCTAGTGCATGTATATGCATGTGTGTGTGTGTGTGTGTGTGTGTGTGTGTGTATACAAAAGAGGCAGCGAACTTTTCTACTGGTCACCCATTCAAGCATGATGCCAAACAATCTTCTGTAAACATTTAAAATTTAATTTCTTTATTTTTACTTTATACATTTGGAAAGTTTAAGAGTGAAAATGTTACCTGCAAGATGGCTCCTGCATATTGACAGAATGTTCACACTTCCCATGCATACAGAAGCCATTGTAATGTTCTGGACAAGGTATGTGGTGTTCTCTGGCACTTTCTTCTAATTTGTTAGCATTCTCTGTGAATACAGATAAAAGCAAGTACCCCCTGTAAATATCTTCTTAGCCCAGTAAGATCAACCAGTGCATTAAGAATCAGAGTTGCAGTAGGCAAAGCTATTTAAAAGGGCAAAAACTAAAAGACCAAGCTTCAGAAGAAAGAGGGAGGAAGAACTGAAAGACAGACATCTTTACAATTGTGTTTAGAAATGAGACTGCAAAATTACCCAGTGCTTTTCATGCTTTTATGCAATTTCCTACATCTTTAACAGCTAGTGATGTTTCTATGAGTTGTCAGGCAGCTTTAATTTTCCTGTGTAGAGACTGTACATTGATCATAAAATAATCCAAGAAGAAATATTCTGTTTTTTGAATTTCAAAGCCAAGCACAATGTCCCTAAGAGTAAATTGCTGTAATACCTTGATACTTTCTCAATGTGAGAGCTTAAAATTTAAAATATGGCCATGTTCAATTGTTAAACAGACATTTTTCCAAACCAAATGCAAATTCCAACAAATGTGTTCTCTCAGGCCTTTTAAATCTACTGTGAACACGAATTTTACTAGCATCTATACATGTTTTTATTGCCAAAATAAAGCTATTGAAAGTGCAAATGTTATTTCAGAATCACTTATGTAGATAGTCACACAGTACAGACTGAATGCTCAAAGTGTGCTTTAATCCGTGCTATTTGGCTTGAGTCAACAATCTTTATGAAATTTAAACTTATGATAAAGAAAAAAATTTGCATTTTCAAATGAATACTTCCCCCACCTTTAACAAATTTTGCTTTCCTCATGTTTTCTTAAAGATAACCAAATATTTTTCTGACTTTTGTTTGTCCAAATATGTTAATTTCATAATTGTAATGTCATCTCTAAGTGGTCTTTCAATTCTTTCTATGTTCACTTTACGATAAAAGGTTTTCTTTGTCATTTCTTCTATGGGCTTAAATATGATACTCCTGAAAATTTCTACCCAAATACATAAGAAGTATAACTTTCTTGACATCAGTTTAAGACATTCAATCTAAAGATACTGTTCAACACCACAGCAATTGGTCAGCAGTAATGAAAGGTTGCAAGTTAATTATTATTTTTATGGACCAGATTAGAATTTCCACATAGGTTTGTAGTTCTTTTGATTACAGTGTATCTTATAATTTTCATAAGCAATTATGGATGATGAGCATATTCAGCAGAAGAAAAAGCCTGCCTCTGGCATTAGTGAATTGGACAAGTGTATTATTTGCGTTAAGGCAGAGCTGTAAACTATCTCTACAGTTTAAAATCTAGATGCCATCTGCAAACATTAAAGTTAGAAGTAAATTGTTAAATATGGCCAGTGCTTTCTTGTGCAGGGATATTTATGTATATTGTTATGATAGTAATATTTCAAGTTATACATCCAAATTCATAAGGAGTTTACCAAAAGTATGGCAGAGATCTTGCCAATGATATTCCAGCCATATATTTGTTCTATATCAGTGTTCCTTTTGCTACGATGGTTAGTAATTCTTTGTTTGCATTATGATATTTCTACATTGATATTTGTCATTAAAGTTAGTGAGTGACTGCTTCCATACAAAAGACTATGAGCATATATAAAATTCTTTTTGGTTTTGCCTCATTCTTTTATTACAGAATTTGTTTTGGTAGTAAATTGTACCTGTGATAAGCAAACTCAACAAAACTGAAGTGAATAGTATCGGGTGAAAATTTCAACATGGGGTCATTTTACCAAAATGGATGCACAGCAGCCATGATTTTTAGACACACCTTGCAATGGTTTATGGTCACTTATGAATCTGTGGGGAAGAGTAGGCACATTCTATGCCAGGGCTGAGGAGCAACGAACTAGAGTGGTCAAAGCATACACCATACCTGCTACTTAAAAGAAACATTAGCAGTGGGAATTGTTAGTCCTACTGCTGATGAAATGAGCCAGCACTGATTTTCACCCTCTTTCTTTATCGTATTCCTATAACAAACTATTCAACACTTCTATTTAGTGTTTGTTAGTAACCCTTCAATGCTTATGCATACCTGCATGAAGGGAAATTTTGTAGGAAACTACATTTTTGTTATTCATTGTTTTCAGTCATAGTATATTTCAAACACATCTTATTAAAGGACTATTTTTCTTTCTATAGCTGCAAAAGAAGATCAAGAGTTTTCTTACCTCAAATCCATTTTTAAAAAAATTTCACACTACCTAACCCTATATTAAGAGTTTGTTTCTTGTTTGAACCATATCCACAATTATAAGGGCAAAATAAGAACTTGTTTCAATTGAGGTTATTGCCTTAGTATAGTAAGAAATGGATATTTTCATAAGGTTTATTATCCAATGAAAATGAGCTCATGGGAGGGGACTAGTTTCTATCATAAAATGTGCTAATTAGTTTATACCACTCCTTATGAGCTTGGAGTGCTCTGTTGTGCTGCTCATAAGATACTGTCAAGTAAGAAAGTAGAGATATTGAAAATAAATGAGTAGAAGAAATGATTCCTGGACAAGAAAATGAGGAATCATCAATATATGTCAACAAATTTATAGTCAATCCAAGCAAGTAAACCAGTTGATTGAAAACCTGAATATATAACCACTTCTAGTAATGCAATAGACATACTTTAGAAATGAGATTTAAGCATATTAAGAAGAGCAGAAACACAGAAATCTAATATCCCAAACAAATATGTGTATGAACCATGGTGGGTATCTGTGATCCTGAAGTTTGTGTATAGTAAGTATTAAAGCAACAATAATGCATTTAAAGATTTAAAATTACATAAAAATGATACTTTGATAGTCTGCATGGTTCCTCCAGTGGCTTAGTCAATGATTTCTTGTCTTCTGTTTAAAAAGAGGTTTAATGTAAGGGTTATACTCTCTCTTCTAAGAGAGATAGTAGTGATGGCAGAAACTCTTCATGTCACTTTAAAATCCTCAAGCAGTTTCCTGTTTAAATGTTTACCAATGGTTTGTTCTGAAGGACATCTTGACCCTTTTACGAGACAATTTCAGGTATAACTTGAGTTATTTGCAGCAGAGCTAATAGGACCACATGCCCATTGGTAGTCAACACTCGTCAAAAGCTGCTGAAGTGGGCTGTTCTATAGCACAACTACACATATTGTTTCTATCCTGGTGCTTTCAGGGAAAGAGACAGACCGCAAAAGCTAAGAGACAGAAAGAATGGCAAATGGCAAAGTCTTACTTTGCTACAAGGCAATTATAAGTGGGTAGAAAAGGAACAAAGAAAACTTAGCAGTTCAGTCTTAAACCAATATGGCTGAGTAGTGTGTGTGCGTGTGTGTGTGTGTATATCGTTAGTTCTATCTTCTTTTTCCCCAAAAGCTGAAAATATAGTATTCTGAGAATTAGTCTATCAAATATACACACTATGGATTAAAGCAGAAACATGACTGTGAAACTTGACTAACACCATTCAAATTTCTAAGCGTTTCCCTTTGGATAATGGTTAGGGCTTGGCTAAAGAAATTTTGAAAATCAAGTCCTATAAACTATTTAAATGCTCTCCAGGGTTGTATTTCCTGAAAAGCCAACTTGAACAAGCAAGCTTGGAGTACCAGTTAGAGACAGACCCAGCATAAGGTGCAACATGAGTATCTTATCCTTTTGACAGTCATATATTTCATTTGAGTTGACTGGTACTGATGCTTCAGGACACAGGTTTCTACTGCTTACTTTAAAGCAACTAGAGCTGTTTAACAGGCAAATGCACGTATAGTGACACAGAAGGTTCCTGATGCTATTAAAAAGGATCTTGTTGCCATTTCCCAGAGATGTTATATGTTGTTACAGTATGGAAAATTCAATTATTTCAGGCATCTTGGTTATTTGACCTACAAAGTATTATTTATTTCTATTGCTAATATTTATTTATGACATTTCTAATAGATGTTTACTAATATTTATTGTAAAATACTATGTTTGATATTCTAGGAGAAAAACACACTAAATAGGGATATTAGTTATATGTACTTTTTAAAAAAAAATTGAGGGCTAGTGGAGTGGCTCAATTGGGAGGATGCCTGCTTAAGAAGCACAAAGCCCTGAGTTCAACTCCTAGTACTGCCAAATAATAATAATAATAATAATAATAATAATAATAATAATAAATTAAAGAAGAGAAAAAGAGTGAGTTTTACCTCCATTATGGGACATTTTATTTTTTAAAGGTGTAAAATATCTTAAATTTGACTCTCTATAATTCAGACACACCAGCATGAAGTGATCATTATTATGTATTCTGCTCCTTTTGGGGAAAAATTTTGTGGATCTAAATTCACTTTTTTTAAACATCATCCTGACAGGCACACGCATGTGAGCAGTGCAGTTTGGTTTATTATCATTTTATCTATCTTGTCCTGTGGGCACACAAAATGTGTCATGCTTTTCTAGAAAACCAAAAATTTCAAAGTTGAATATATTTATGCAATACTGCATTTTTCATATTTAATGATACTATGGAGAAATTCTGAAACCTATTGTGATTAATTTTACCCTTTTTTAAAACTTACTGCTATATTTCCAAAGTAATTTGAAAATAATTTTTAACCAACTAGAAAAATAAAAAGCTGTTATTTTCCATTATGTTTACATTATGTGTAGAATGGAAATAAATTATGAATTTGAAGTGAAGACATGATTGCTTCCATTGCTCATTGGAGCTGGTCTCAGACAGGATATACAATTCTTATGATTCCTCTCCGTATCTTATCAGGTGTAAACATGTGAGGTGACACTAAAATCTCCTATCTATCTTGAATTGCAACTGAAGGTTTTTAAAGACCAAAACAGTGTTCCTACTGAACATGTTCTGAATGTAATGCAATATGGGTTCTTGCAACCTAACAAATTCCAAAATAGTCTCACCTGCTGTCATAGTTTCTTCAAGGCATAGATGAGTAGATGAGAAGAGTGTCTCCTTTTTTTTAAGCCTCTACGACAGAGACTTAAATAAGAATGCTCGCTAAAAGTGACAGCAGAGCA